ATAAAACCAGTTCATTTTTTATTTATCACATTTTATCTTTAAAATGTCAATCAGATTAACATGTCATTTTTAATTATTATTTATAATTTACATAACAACCATATACCAAACTATTTTATATGATTAATTTTTAGTGCATTGCATAGTTAACGATATTATTACATATTTATAGGCGTAGCTGGGGGGAGGCAAGGGGAAATTCCCTCCCCTCAAAAATAATCACTTTTTGTGAATATCATTTTAAGCTAATAAAAAATAACCCCTAAGTCCTCCTCCCACATCCTGTACCCCCCCCCCCCCCAAAAAAAAATGTATGCATATATCTTAAACAATAATTTTAAAGAAAGAATGTAAAAGTTGATATTTTTTAAACTAAAACTCATAGGCGTAGCCAGAGTTTTCCTAGGGGGGGAGTTAAAAAAGTATAGGGGGCTTCGCCCCAGACTGCATTTTATGAGGGTCTTCGGTAAGCTTTTGACCGGCCTTCGGCCGGGTTACCTTATTCTATATTTAGTCAGAAAATATTTTTATAAGATAGGAGGTTAATTTTAATAAAAAAAATAAGTCTGGAACAAATATGAAATATATTTTTATTAGTTTATATAAAATATAATAAATTACTTGTATATACATTCATGGTAATAATTTATTCCAAACAAGTATAAGAAATTTATTTATAAAAAGTAAGTAGACATATAGTTGATATTCCTCTATTATATATAATTAGTTACAAAATACTAGGTAAAATTCCACTTTTGCAGATATATTTGACAGTTAGGGAATATATCACAGTTAATATTTTAACAAATTTTACTAATCAATGCTTTGATAATAAATATAGCAACAATTTACATTCAATTATTTAATGCCATATTATTTTAAATAAAAAATGATATTAAAATTAATCTTCATATTATTCATCCCACAATGTCTTTAAAAGATATTTTCTGATGTCCTTTCAATATTTTATAGTTTTCTGTAAAATATATAATTCGTTATATTGGTAAAAATTACTTGATTGTCATATGATAATTGATAAAATTAGATATACTGTAAATCAACGACTTATAATATTCCACTGTTTGTATTGTGCTTAAATTCTTTTATTTAATTTATGATTTAATTTTATCAATAGTTTTATAATTATATTTTACTTTTATTAATATAAATCAATTAATATTACTCACTTTATAAAAAATTATATTTGATATATTATATTATTTAGTAATTTTATGGATCTACTATTAATAATTATAATATATTTCACTTTTGTCTTAAGACTTATCTTTGGCATATATTTCATTTCTTAAAAAGCATTTTTAATTCACTTTTTTTATATATAAATGCTTTTTTCCAAAAATGTATAAATTATGATGAATAGTTTTATAAAAAAATATTAACTTTTACATTAATTTCTTTCAAATTATTGTTTAAGATATATGTATACATTTTCGGGGTCAGGAAGTGGAAGGAAGACTAAGGGGGATATTTTTTAATAGCTTAAGATGATATTCACAAAAAGTGATAAATTTCTGAAGGGGGGATTTCCACTTCCCCCCCCCCCCCGGCTACGCCTATGTATACATATATAGTTATTATAATATTTTTGAAATACATGATTGAATATATATCATTATATTATTTGTATATTATGAATTAGTATATTAGTTAATTAGACATATTTCATAATGATTATATATATAGTATTTATGATTGATATAATATTAGGTGAAGATTAACTACATAACACTCATGAAATCTATCCAAATGTAATATCCGGATTATTTTCTATTTATTATATTAATAATTCGATATGAAATTCTTATTAAGATAATGATAATTCAAAAATCTTCTTTTTCCTTATGATTGTCTATATTTCCGTTTTAAAAAATTATAAATATAAATCAAATACCGGACATTAAGTAATACATGTTGTTCAAAAAGATTTAACTTTATAAAATCGGTACTACTTGCATGAAACAAATTTTATAAATGGGCTCTACTACATAAATTTGATAAAATTTAACAAAAATATGTGTACATTTTGATTCCACCCACTCACTCCCTCCCCTTCCCCAAATAATTTTTTTAGACAGCTATTTATATATTATACTATACTAACCTTTCTCAAACCAAATAAAATAGCTTTATAATTTTAAAAAAAATGATTAACAAATTATACAATCTTAAAATAATTATTGCATATAAAATATAGAATTCAATTAACATTTTCAGAAACAGAATATGTTTATAAAAGTCAGATTGTATATATATCTAAAATATGACTTAAAATACTTCAGAAAACTGTATAAATGATTAATATATTTGTTTAATTGAATGCGAATTATTTAAAAATTTCTCGCGAATATTTTAAAAAAATAGGGTACTAATCCATTTTTCAAAATTGATGCCAATTTTAAAAAGGTGTACTATAATAGCACAGCACCTTCATTTATTCATATCCATGATAAATATCAACTTTAGAAATCAAATATAAATATACCCTGTAATCCTTCTAGAACAACATCATCTGATATCTGAGTTCGTTCCACTCTGTAGGTCAATGTTCGGTAGGAAACTTTAATAACTATAGCACTGGTTGGTGAGAATATCTTAATTGGGTTAAGGGGTTGTAGAAGTTATGCTTAAGGCTGATATCTAAAATATTGTGTTCAACAGTGGCGTTAGGGGGGGGCGCAGGGGCTCGAGCCCCCTGAAAAATTTGAATAGCCCCCTGAAGCAAAAAAATTTTTTTTTTAATGGCTCCTTAATATTTTTTTGAGCTAAAAATAAATTTTTTATTGCCCTTAGAATAATTTCTTTTATAATTCTATTGAGCAATATATAGATTTAGTTTTATTAAAAAATTAATAAGACTATCTTAATTTTTATTAAATGAATACTATTTTAATTATTAGATTAGATTATTACATATAAATTATATTATGTCTTGCAATCAAATTCTATGTTAAAAATATAACAGTATCACTCACTAAATATTAATTTAGCTTTAATAGTTGAAGCTTAATTGACTTTTATTATTTAAATTATTATATAGCCCTGATAAATATAATCCTTTATTAATTGAAAATTAATAATTTAATATTTTAGCCGAGATTAAATACACTAATCAACTACATTATTGATTTTTAAATTTAATTATCATGTCTCTTCCTAAAATTATTTTCAAGGTCCAAATCCAAATAAGCATAAGAGATTTATTTATAAAAATTAAGTAGACATATAGTTTATAATCCTCTATTATATATAATTTTTTATAAAATATTAGGTAAAATACCACTTTTACAGACGTATCTGAGTTATATAATATTACAGTTAATATTTTTTAAATTTTACTAATAAATAATTTTGATAATAAATATAAATAACAATTTGCTTACAAATATTTAACGCCATATATTAAAATTAAACGTATTAATATTCATCCCACAATAGATGTAATAAATTAGATATCCTTTCTTCTCTTTTTACGTGTTTTTGGAAAAGCTATATTTTTCTTCTTTAAAAAATAGATTTGAGTTAAATCTTAAATACAAATATATTTTTAATATTATTACAAACTACTATTATTTTAAGATATAATATACCAACTAGAGATGGTGCGACAATAATATATAAAATCTTAATTGCTTTAATGATATCACTCTGGTTCTTATTTTTTAGTTACAAAATGTTTCATTTCTAATATGGCATCCTTGCCGTGTAAATAACTCAAGGCTTCAATATATTTGCTGTTTTATCAATTTATCTAACAGAATAAATTATGATGGGTTACCATCGTGAGTGTCATGAATAGGACTGCAAATTAAGCAGCATCTATTATTTGTGTGGCTATGTAATTTAAGATTATTACTACAGCTGCTGAGAGCATATGATCGCATATTTTAGATAAGCAATAGGTCAACTGTGTAGTCGTTTATATAACATTGAAAATGGAAGATGATCTTTTAGAAATTTAATATCATGTCTAGCTTCCATCATGTCATCTAAGAGGAAGCTCTAACCATCATATAGTTTTATGATTTGGATTGGTCGTTTATATTCTCTTCTTCAAGAATTATAGATTTGGTAAGGTCTATAAATTTTTTCTTATTAGTCCATTCTATAAAAACATTGTCTAAAATGATAATGGGGAGTTATATTAGTTTCATGACCATTTGTCAATGTAAGTTGGTAAGAATTATATTATATTATGTAGCTTTCAAAAACTATTATCAATTTAGGCATATATGAATTAATTAACCTTTTTTATCATTTATTATTCTTTAGACGCAAAATCATCTTATATCAACAATCGAAAATATTTTATACTGTAATAAATAGATTTTCTATTAAAAAATATTATTTTTAGAAATGTGATGTATTATTTTTATATGACTTTCAGAATAATTATTTAGAGTTAGTAAATTATAAAAAAGTATAATATATTGATATAAAACCCGGCCGAAGGCCCGCAAATTGGAGAATATGGGGGCGAAGCCCCCATATAAAATTTTTAGTTGAGCCCCCTGAGATTGTAAAGGCTAGCGACGCCCCTGGTGTTCAAATAAGAAATGTAACAATGATTGTTTAATTAAAATCTTTAGAAATCTTTTGTTTTAAAATATTTTGATAGGGACAAAGATGTTTTATATTTTTAAAATATTTGTTAATATTTCACTCTTCAAATATTATAACGTCTGACAGGTATATGAGTGATGGTATTTCTATCGTTTTTAAGAACCCTAGTAAAATGAATATACCTATGAAAATAATGAACATGTGTTTTTTTAAAAGAACATTAACTGATGGAAATTTTACAAATTTGTTAATTTCCAATCCTCATAAAAATATCTATCACCTTAAATTGAATCGTCCAGATAAAAGAAATGCTTTTAGTAAAACAAGCTTTCAGTTAATTTTTAATGTGAATTTAAATATAATAATTTTTAATATAGTGAGATTAAAAAATGTTTTCAAAATTTAGACAAAGATAATAAATGTCATGTCATAGTATTATCAGGAGAGGGGAAAATTTTTTCATCAGGCATGCTTCTACTAATTATAAAATTGAATATATTTTACCCATAGGAATTGACGTTGATGAACTAAAAAATATTGTAGAAAAATTTAGTGTAGAAAACTACCCTAATTATGATAATAATCACTTATCACTAAGAGATTATATACTAGACTATCAATCAATATTTACAACTATTGAAAAAGTAAAAAAAAACTAAATTTCAAGCATAATTATGAACAAAGAATAAATTTTTTTTGCATTGCCAAATTTAATTAGAAAATAAGAATTATATAATTTGAAGGAAAAGCTCAAGATAAATTTGAACTTACAAAAGCAACAGATCCACTGCTTTAGATTATATCAAATATATTATCAATAAGGTTTACCTACATAGCCTTAGACTAGAGCCATGCGAGTCAGTCCAAAGCTGGGACCCTAATTTAAAAAAATGACTTAGCTAAATAAAACAATGATTAGACATTTTCTGGGATTTTAGTATTTAATTTAACTTTAGAAAAAAGGGTTTGAATATTTTTCACTTAAAAATTTTGAACTAGGTTTAGGCCTAAAATAAAAATATGAGCTTGGACCTTAAAATATCTTCCAATACTACTCTATCAAAAGTAATATACTGCTGCATTTGTCATCAGAATAATAGAAATAATTTATTAAAAAGCAAATAAATATTATTAAATCATTTTTAATATTAAATTAATCCTATCCCCAGTAGGATAAAAATCTTTATCAACATTAGACCCTTTCTATTTCCAAGTGTATAAGTGTAATTTATTTGCTAAAAAAATGCTCAACCCAGTGTTAAAAGTCTCCATTTTTCAAAACAGCCCTATTAAGATTAAAACCAAAATGGTATTATGTAAGTATGGAGATTTTACTCTTTGACTACTGAAAAGTTAGATCATCTATTTGCTATATCTTAAGGCTTGCATGATATTATTCTGGCATAATGAGCCATTTTTAAAAATTGACCTGAATCAGGCTTTTTAATAATATTAGCGCAACCCTACCTATTGAGGATTAAAAATTAACTATTGTGATTGGTTTCACTGTAACCAATTCATATTATTTAATTTTTTTTTCAATTCTTTACTATAATTACTTTTAAGGCTTCTATATTTTTCCTTCTATCATAAATCTTATCTTGTTATTAATTTTGGAAAATTGCTTATTTAACTGATAACTTATTTGTACTTTCTACCAAATGGATCAAAACTAGAAGTGGGCGCGGGCCTAATTTTTCATTCACAGCCCGCCTGCTCACGGTGGCAATAAAAAAATTCACGTCCATTCACGCTTACCACTAAAAAATTTTTGACCCGACCCGCCCGCTCACGACAAGCAATATTTTGATTCACGCCCGTCACGCCAGAAAATTAACGGTGTTTTTAAATTTTTCAAAACTATTGCTATAATTTTACACTTTTTTGAATTCATTCTATTTATTTCTCTAATTTCATAATCCATATTAATAACAAAAAATAAATACAATCTATAAATCGAAATTATTAAGAAAAAGAAGAATTCATCTTTTTTTATTTCAATTGTGTCCGTCTTTCCTCTAATAAGAGATTGGCTACAGGAAATAACCTTTTACTAGAAGCCGAACTTGCAGCGGACAAAATTTTACTCGATATAGTTTGCTATAGATTGTTTGAAATATTGTACTATTTTATTTACACCATTTATATTTATGACTATTTCAGTTAAACAATTGTCAAAAATACAATGCATAATATTTAGTATATGGCATATACATGCTAGCGTTTCGTCATCTTTGAATGCACTTATAAGATTTGCTCCGTTATCACTCACAACTATACATCTATTTAAGTAATTTTCTACTTCTGTTTATTCTCCTAAAATTAAATTGACTACACTTTTAATTTTGACGTTTTTTTCATCCATTACCCCTGTGGCCAAAACAAATGTTTTTAATTTAAAATCCTTAATGATAATATGTCCTGTAATGGTTAAAAAACTTAGATTTTTATAGTCTTCCGTCAAATATCAGTGATTATGGACAAATAATTATTATTGATCATGCTTTTAATCTTAAGCTTTATTTTATGGTACATTTTTTGACCTATAGTATTCATGAGAGTTTTCCGGTTCACAACTTTTAAATTTTGTTATCCATAGTAACACCAACATTTATCTTTTAGCCTAGCTTTAAAATCATTCACTTTCTGTTGCATTTAAAGATTGAAGATCTTTACAAATAAAATATAACTGACTTTTCTGTAAAAAATTTAAGCAAAATTTAGCATAAAGTCTCGCGATAAAAAACACCTAAACATAAAACAAAATAGAACTAACGAAATGTTACCGGATGTTATTTATAAAATGCGGAAGATTTTTAGTTTTCATAAATTATTCTTTTTTAAAAAAGAACTAAATTAAATAAGAAAATATATAATATAATTATAAAATTGCAAATTTATATTTATAAAAAAACAAATATAAAAATTAAAATTTCCGTGATTCACGGGAAATTTATGTTCACGCCCGATCACACCCGGGGAAAATTTTTGGAAGGCCCGTCACGCCCAGTCACGCCTTGGTATTTAAAATTTATTCCACCACGCCGTGACACGATGGGTCACGCGTAATTTCACGGCCCGCGCCCACCTCTAATCAAAGCACTTAGTTTGAGCTTTATAATTAGCGCATTCAAAATCTTGAAAAACTTCATACTCTTATCGCTGCATCTTATGAGATTCAGTAGAAATTTTTAAAAAATATAACTCGATTCAAGATATAATGAGATTTTAACTATTTTCTTTTTATATGTATTATCAGGGTTACCAGGTCTTCCCGTATCAGCAGGAGACTCCTGTAATATATCAGTTTACCTGAGGACATCTCCATCCCACAATTGTAAATCTCCTGTAATTTCAAAATCTCTCCCGCATAATTTTTTTTAGCATTTTAACGTTTTTAATTTATAAATAACAATTTTGGTGAAACAGTAATTGATTATTTTAAAATAAAATAATTTTTTTTTCAAAAAATTGTCAATTTCTTTCTTTCTAATATGTTATACCATAACACAATATCAATAACCATGTGTTTATGTTAATAAATTTTAGGAATTAGGATAGGAACATTATCTGGACTGAACTATATTTCCTTGAGACACTTTAACATATGGTATCTGGATGATAGCACTGCTAACTTTCTAAAAATATTTTAGCAACGATAGAAAATATAGAACAGAATTCTCTAAACATAGGTCTTAATCTAAATAAAGCTAAATCTGAAATATGCTATTTTTCAATTTAATGGCCCTCGAAGTAGTGTTGTTAGCTCGTTTTGAGCCGATTTTTTAAAACGGCTAACTCGATATTTTAGTCAGAAAAATATTGCCTGAGCCTCGAGATTTCGATAATATATGTCTAGAACTGTCTGATTTGCCGTAGCCTCGATGAAATGATTTAGAATCATTTCATGATTTTTTTTTATTCCAGTGAATTGCTGTTTTTCAACGAAATACAGTTCTGCAATCAAGCAAAAGAAGATATCACTATCTTTGCGAAAGCTTGGTGATTTTAACTTTCTAAAATAGCCTTAAATAGCCATTAATGCAATATCTAAAAGCATTTCGAATCGCATAGAATCAACTTCTAAAATTGTCTATAATTGTAGGTATAGTATTTTATTCCGTGCCATTAGAGCATGATAGATTTTACTTCATATGCGAAAATTTCCGTTCTAGCAATATGTATTGCAAACATAGAAAACAAGTATATCTTCCCAAAGCCTAAATACCTAGCATCATAATTACCAGTAACTTCAAAGTCATCTTCGTTCCTGAATTTTATTCCAAATCCTCATGCGATTGTCTGATAGAAAGAACTGAACCAGATAACCTGAACTTTTCCCAAGCTTCAGCTGTATTTTGAGCAGCATGGAGATATTCTAGTTTACTGTAAGAAGTAAATAATTTGGAAAGCTTATCAATAATATCTAAACCTATATTACAAGCAGCCAATCTATCAGTGATGTAGCCAGAATTTAAGAGAGGGAGATTGTAAAAATGAGAGGAAGGTTGTAGCCCCACCCCAACCTTTTGATTAACCTTTATTCGCTTATACTTTTCTATGTGCGAAAATGTTTATAATCAAATTTTCGCATAACAAACTTTTACAGAGAACTTCATTGATAGATCTTATAATTAAAATCCTTTAGTATAAATAATATTCTTTTATTTAACTATAATAGCATTGCCTATCTGTAGAATATACAATAAATAATTTTAAAAAAAATATATTTTATTTACAACTTGTAATATAAGATAAATTTGATTGTAAATAACAATTTTTTTCTAAAAAATTTTTGGCCATATATTTTGAGCTTTAGTTGAAGCGCTAGCTTTATATTTGCTTGATGAATTAATCAGCAAACATGTAAGCGGCTACAAAGTTTCTTGTTTTCTTTCTCTGTGCGCATCTTTGTAGAATTTTCAGAATTATTTCCCCATGCATTTGTTTTTGATACTTTTCAAGATCTCGGGTTTTTAACCCTTCCAAATATCAGTAACACATATGCCTATCAATCCTTTATCAATTCCAGATAAATCGCTATTCATATTTTCGTTATACACAATTAGATAGTTGCACAAATATTCAAGGGAAAACGCCTGTAAATCTTTTTCTTTTAAATCAGCCAACATCTTCCTCACTTAAAATACCAGTTTTCTCTTTTATATCCATTAAGTTGAAAATCGCATGGGTAATTTGATGAGTATACATAAAGGTTTAAAAAACTCGAGCCGTTATAGTGTACATAATATAAACGAAGAAGAAAAAATAATATCATTAACATATAAGAAATATGTACTTATCACTTGTTATACTTTTGACATTTGAGATTCATATGTGGCAATATTATATTCTCCCCCCCCCTCCCCCCTTAACATAACGAGCATACCATGTAAATCAGAGAACTTATTGGGATGCGGAGCAATTGCACATTACTCTCAGAAGTAGTATACTAGGATCTTTATAATCGTACCCTTTAATGACTTTAGAAAATGAAGTTCTATGAGATAATTTGGCAGGTTTTACTATATCTGATGCTTCTACGTCATAAGAAGTGTCAAAAGCAATTGGATCTACAGTATTTTGATTATTCAGCGAGTTTATTACACATCTATATATATTAAGAGGAGCATTAGGCGTAGTATGTAAAGGATATATGGTTTATCCTTGTCTTGCAAATGCTCAACTGCTTGAGAGAGCAACATTCCAAGGTTCTTTTACTTAGTTCCTTTTCTAAAGTTGACAATGTGATATATATAAAATTTAAATAAGTACAAATAACTGTCTAGTTTTTGAAATATTAAATTGATTTCAACAATAAGTAAGCTTTACACACTTGAATTTACATATTTTATTTTGTTCATAATTCTTGAGTTCGCTCTATATCTTTTTTTTTACCAATGAGAAATTGTTTCTTTTCATTGATTTTAGCAAACTTGAATTTGTATTCTTTATTCCTTAATTAGAGCCTTTCGGATTCGCTTTTTATCTACTTTAACTGAAACACCCGTTCCTTGACTGACGAAAGATTATTCATAGTACATTATTATTCTTTTCCCCACTTCGTTCCTCGTTTCTATAACGGCATCAGCTTGGGTTTCAGAATTTAGTTCCCCTTTCATTATTTTTAAAGCCTTTTTTAAAAAAAACAGAATTTTATTATTATCTAACGCGGAAACACCGGAATTCTTACGTTTTCGCTTCCTCGTCTTATTTTTTTTCTTCGGTTTCTAACAATTTCCAGATATCTGCAATAAGCTTATAAATGAGCCATACTTTACTTATTATTATATTGACTGCAAATACATAATTCAATTCAATTCATAATATAAATATTCATATATCAACCACATTAAATTATAGGTGTCAACCTCCATCACCTGATTCACCCCAAGATCTCGAATCCTCTTACGAATAATGATCAGCTTCATCAAGGGTTTGGCACTTAATCATAACAATAGCCATATTTTTTTTTAGAGTGTCTCAATTTTCTTTCTTTCCGTCCTTTCTCTCCTCAGCCAACAACATGAGTAGTAGTGTCTCTTGCTCATTTTCTTCCCTTTGCATTTTTCTGCATTATATTTTATTATTTAAATCCTATTGATCCAATATAATTATGAGAATCTGTAGATTTAATTTTAAAACAATATTTGATAATGTTATTTAAATAATATATACCTTGATCAAAATTTTAAGGAAATTTAATATTTAAAATTAAATCATGATAGTGCAAAAAGCCCGTTATAGCTGCCATTCATGGAGCATGCATTGGAGCCGCGATGGCATTAGCCGCTGTTGTAGATGTCAGATATTGTACACCTCAAACGAAATTTCAAATTAAGGTAATAATTGGAGGCCTCTATAAAGTGATGACAAATAATAGAGGATTTACTTCATGAAAAACTTTATATAGGGTGACCTGAAACAAGTTGTTTATATAAATTCTTTTAGATTGGTTTGAGATTAATTTAATCTTTTAGAATAATTATATAATTTTGAGATGAACCTATATTTATAGCTTTTACTGTTTCATTGTATGTTCAAAAATTGTATACAAATGAATAGGATAATTCTTACGATATATTGATTGAATTAAAATTGGATACCTTAGAAAAGGTTGTTAGTTAAAACTATTTTTTAAATTAAGGAATTGTGAAAGTCGAACTATATTAGATTGCTTTTAGAGGTGTTATAATCTCAATTTTTTTAAATTTTAGTTTCCATGTTTTTGTAAAGAAAGATGAATATCCCATAAACGTGTAATTTATTAATAATTGAGTATGAGAAATAATATTTCAAGTTTTTTTACGTCTTGTTTTCTTAAATAGCGCTTACTCTCACCTTAAATGACAAAAAAATTGAGTATGTGTAAATTATATTCATCCTTATTATAATTTATAAAGACATGATTGAAGATAAATCAATAAAATCGAATGTATTTTAATTTTTAACACGATTAAATTAAAAGCACTTAAAAAAAATATTTCAAATTCCAGGAAATTCAACTAGGTTTCCCGGCAGATTTAGGGGTTCTACAAAGGCTGCCACATCTGATGGGGCACGATTCGTTCTTACGAGAAATAGCTTTGACGGGCAGAGTATTTAGCGGGATCGAGGCTGTGAGGAGCGGTTTCTGTCAATTTATACCCTCGTTTGAAAATATGACGGGAAAAGATGATAAAACCCCGACGATAGAAGAAACACTGCATAAAGCTACGGTAGAACACTGTTTAGCACTGGCTAAACAAATTGCCGAAATGAATCCCCTGGCCGTCCAAGGAACCAAACTTAATCTCAATTTTGTTAGACCCAAAATGATTGACTCTGGTCTTAATTTAGCCTCTACATTTAATATGATCGCTTTGAAAAACCCTCTTCTCGCTGATACGGTTAAAAGCGCTTTATCATTGCTCGATAAACAGAAATAAATTATTATATTTTGATAAATATATTTTTCCTTCGTCATAAATGTTTAAATGACATATTTTATTTACCATAAAATAAATTAATGCTGCTAGTTTTATGATTAAATGATTTACAATTTATTTCAAATTTTTTTTTCTTATATATTCAACATTAATTGGGTTTTACAAAAACTCTCAATATAATTGTATAATAGATTCTTTTAGAATATAAGCTTTTCTTACCCTAAATGACATTACTGCTTAAAATATGGAAACTATCTTAATTTTCGTTAAATATATTAAGATGAAAAAATCTTTAAATAAATTCCATTGCTGATTTTTACCTAGGTAACATAGACAAGCCTAGCAAACACATTATCAACATGTTTTACCCATTTTCTAACATTTTCAACTGGGGGAGAGACACTGTTTAATTATTTTTTTAATTTGCGCAAAATTGGTAAAAAAAAATGAATTTTTTAAAATTTAAAAATTTTTTAAAATCTAAAATCAGAAAAAGAAATAATTAATATTTATAACTTTACTGAGAGCTTTCCAAAATTTTCGTTCCCTTCTCAACTTCGTCGCCAGTTATTTAGTACATTTTTTCCTCATAAACGTGTTTCTCAAATTTTGTTTCCTAATACTTGACTCTTAACATCCTATTATATTGAATAATATTCAATATCACTCAATCTCATGATTATATAAAATAGTCAGTTGGCTCTAGCCATCAATCACAGTCACATATATTCAGATTAGTTTTCAATTTGAATAACATATATTTATCATATTGTGCCAACCATCCAACATTCATCCTCCTTAATTATTCTAAATAGTTTAAACATCTCCAGCTTTAGATTTTCACCCAACAATGTTAATTGCTGAATCAGTTGGAACTATATCTGTTTGACATGATGTTTTTTATCGTATTCCTACGCATAATACACAACTATATACCCATTCGATTATTTTATCTATCAAATATTATCTTATAACCTCTAATGTATTTAAAAAATTTTTTCTCTATATCTTTCCATCAATTTGTACGTTGCATATATGGGATCAATAATTATTCTTCTAGATATGATACTAATTGATCCTATAAAATGTTGATCATTTATAATACCGCAACTCGAATTTATATACAAATTTTAAAATTTATTTTTGAAAAAAAGCAATTAGGAAAAAATAAAATTGAAATTTTACAAAATAGAATTTAATTAAATTTTGCAAAAAAAAAATTGTTTTAAAAAAAAAACTTAGCTATCTATAAATAAGAAAAATAGTATTTTTAAAAGCTTTTGATCGATTTTTGCAATTTATAAACGTGTACTATAACTTAAGTATTGTTTTTATCAATTCGAAGCGCATCTGTAATGTATTACTCGAAAACATCTAATTAGCTTATCAAAATTAGGTTACTGACCATGTATGTACCATATAATCTTATATAAAACAAAATATTTCGATAACCGAACTAATTATTTTAAACAAATCCTCTTTGTAAAATACAATAAACCCCCATAAAAATCATATTACAATGATACTTTTAATGTAATTTATGCCATTTAAAGTACTGGCACACTTTCCTTTATAAGACTCCGAGTAAGATTACAAAATTTATTTTATATCAGTTTAGGTTAAGAATCTAAACCTACGCAATATAATCGGTTACTAGTTTTTATTCCTCTCTAATCTCATTAAATTTAAATAAATGTGTTTTAATTTTTTTATTTAGATTAAGTGATTTTCTTTCTTGTTTTTTTTACTGAACATATTTTACTGATCAAAAATTTATTTCTTAACTTACTTATCATAAATTTATTTTTTCTGTTATTATTTATATTGACTAAATATTAATTATGTAACTGATAAAAAAAATTTCAAAAATTTATTAAAATATTTTGATGTTGAAAAATTCCCCCTATTTTATTCGATTTTGAGGAAAAACTCTTAGAAGGACCGTGATAATAAAGATTTTAAAATATCCTTAAAACATCTTTAGACATTTTATTACTCTATAGATAATGGGGAAGATAGAAAAAAAAGTAAAAATCCTTACGGAAAATATATTGTAGATAAGAAACTTTAAAAAACTGCGGAAAAAAAATCTCAACTAGAAAATAATGTAGAATAAAAAAATGTAGGAAAAATCTCTCTAGGTAAAAAAAAATATAAAAATAAAAAAATCTGTAAGAATTATTCGGGTAATGCATTTTAAAATAAAACTACTTACTTAAAAGGTATAAAGATGGGAGATTTACCTCATCTCTTATTTTTAGAAATAACAATAGAAATACTATTTTCATTATATATTTTAACAAGATTGGGAAAGATAGAAATAGTGCTGTTTTAATATCAAAACTAAGAAATAGATTAAAACCTTTTACCAAAAAAATATGGTATTGAAATATTACGACTTAAAGAATTAGTCGGAAAAAAACCCTATTTATTTGCCAAAATAATAGGGCCATAAGGACGCCTTGCAAAATGAATTATGGGTAAATATAAATCGTAATCGTATCTCAGGTGATGCTATTATAAGAGAGCCTATAATCTCAAAAATTTATTTTTTTAATGCAGTTTACTCTCTACCACAGAAAAATAACCAATTCAGTTAGAGAAGAGGTATTCGGATCTTATTAGAAAATTAGGTGAGCACCATTTTCAAAAAAGGCTATTAGAAATGAACAAAGTCAAAAATATGAAGAAAAAAACAAACCAGATAGTTTTTAAACTAGGACCCCATATTTTGATTTGTTTTAAGCATTTTTCGTAATTATCATTTTTTTTTTGTATTTTTGGTTTTTTCATATTTTTAATTTTACTTAGACTGTTTATTATTAGTTAAATAGCGGCTGACGTCGATAAAGACGCACCCCTTAATGCTTTTAAAAGTGTACTAGGAGTATATGTCTGTATTGAGCATCACTCAATTTTTTACCGTCCTAAAGATCTTCTACTCTTAGTATCTTCGGGGGGAAAGATTTGTTCTTTCTTTTCTATTCCCTCCTTTTTCTTTCTTCCCTACTTTCCACACCTTCCTATTCAAAAATATGTTTAACTATCAAGTTAGAAGTCCCCCCCCCCCCACCTGAAAGATATAAGGAGGCGAAGTGCCAGTATCTACGCTCTAAGGTAATTGACAATATTTTGTCACACTGACTTCCCCTGATGTTATATACATTCAAAACCAAAATCCTCAAGGATAAAATTACAAATCTTCATTTTATCACTTTTTCTGTTTTTTTCGAAATACCCCGCCAAGTATACCAAGTTTTTAATTTATATACAGTAAATCTGAAACAAAGTATAATTTTATTAATTCAAGACAATTTATATGCGTAATTAATCAATATTCTCTTTTAATTATAACGAACCCTAAAACATTATACAAAAGAAATTATGGTCGTTAATTTTAATCTTTCCCGGACACCTTTTTAAAAAAATAAATACTCTTTGCATTAGGTTTTCAGCTAGTAGAATGTTAACATACTTTAGTTGTATAGTTAAACCTTTATCATATGCTTGTAAATAAATTTTTTTAAAATAATTAGGAAAAGGGAAGAGATCCTTTTAGTTAAAAATATATACATCGTGTGCACTTTTTATAGAATATGTAAAAACTCCCTATTACATCTAACTCATGTTGGTCGATCGGATATTGATTTAACATGTCTAATCGGACTGAGTCAAACTTGGCCAAATTTTGTTCACCCACGTAGATAGGGCAAAAATCAGACCTCGACCAAATATTTAAATTATTTTGTTTTGATAATAATTTTTATAAATATTTTTTTTATATTGTTTTTTTGATAAAGGAAAAAGTATGATCAAAAAGGAAAAATTGATCAAAATTAATGGATCTTGTTACAAAAGCAGTTAAACTATTTTCAATGAACCCCTCCTTACAAAAAAATGTAATTTACCAATAAACATTACTAACATATACAAATAGCTGGAATATAGTCCCACACTTTTTTACTTTACTTCTGGGTTACAAGGTTTGTTGGTATCCTTGAGTAAAAAATTCGGCATATCAGATTTGGGCAGGTCTATGACCAACGTGTTATTAAAGATTAAAGAAACAATGGTTAGTTAAGTTTCTTAAAGTTGGGAAGAAGGAAGGAAAAAAATAGTGATGAAACCTTTAGAACTAACTATGAGGTATTTGTGATTTAAATATTCCGTTATAATAAAAATTGTAGCGAAAATTTACCGTAAAAATTTGTATCTATATCTAGATACATTTTTATGAGTCTCGTTATCTAAATACTTTTTAAAAATATCTTTCCATAAGTCGAATAATTTGTCACGATTTTTTTTAAAAACTATTTTTTCCTCCAAATAAAAATAAAACATAGTTTAATTTTAGATCACGAGAGTCATGAATTTAACTTTTTTTAAATAATAAATGAAAATTTTTAAAAGTTTTTAAGATTTATTATTCCATAAAATTTTTGATTAATTCCAAAATATATAAAAGAATGTTATTTATTTAGAAAGAATTTTTTTTTGAAATTATATGTACAATTTTTTTATATAAAAAAATTTATAAATTATAATTAATGTTCCTCAGGGCATTCATTGTGACTGTCGGGATATTTGACAAAAATGAGTGCCTGTTATGAGACTTGCAGCTTAAGATTTAAATAAGTTATAACGCCCCTGCTTAGTTGATCTAAGTCCCGCCCGCCCCCTCCCCCCATTCAAATTATTCGCTTTATTTGATTTATATTTATAGTTCATATTCTTCCCTATACATTTTTTTTCTTTTAGAGACGATGGCCTCAAGCATATTATACAGGATTATTAGGCCGTGAATTACAATATAACACTTTATTTTCAGAACTAGTTGTTATACATTTGGGATATTAGAGTTGTTAAACGACTCGATTTTACCCTATTTATAAAAACGGCCTAGTAATTTAGCCAGAAAAATATTGACATACCTCGAGATTTTACTAATAGATGTCCTAATTTTTCCCATTTATGAGAAAAATCTTCAGGCTTGCGTAATA